CTATTTGGATTTTTTATGGATTTATTCATTTATTTATATCTCTATTTATATCTCAATTTATATCTCAATTTATATCTCCATTTATATATCTATATATTTGTTTATTCGCCTCTGCCAATGCCATTTGCGGTATCTGTTATGATACAACATACGTATTGAACATTACAGTATATATTAATATCTAATGTATTAATTTCAGATGTAATAATTAATATACAATATATATTAGTCAATACGTTAATATTGATGGGCATTCAACCCTAATTATATTAAATGCTTTGCTTGTGTGCATAAGTTAGAAACACATAGTTAAGTATGCAAATGTGGGAAATAATAGTTAGCATATCATATGCACGTTTTTAAAAATGTTTTTTTTTTATAATGTAGAGTGCGAAAAACTGTGATATATAATGAAGAAATATCTAGCAAAAAATTGTTATTTAATTAATAGTGAGCAAGCTAGCATTACACTAGCAATTTATTATTTTTAATGTATAGAATCTTATTACATTAAAACAAGAAAATGAAAGTGAGATTTAGGTAAGATTATCCAGTATATTACCTAGGTCATTTTAGTTTCCGAACAAACATAAAAGATATAATGTAATGAGCTGTTCTAGCTAAAAAGAAACCAGAACTCAACGTGAAGCCGAAACAGGGTGTAACTATTATGATAAACTACATTAAATGATAGTATCCCTGAATAACTGATGTATATTTCTATATATATATATTTTGGTTTTTTATTATTCTATTAACTGATGGTAGCAATCAGGAGTAATCAACCTTTTATTAACTGTTAATGACAAACATGAAATTTGCGATATATGATAATGCACTATATTTTTATGCACAAAACTCTAAATATTACCAAAATAATTCATTCTTCAATCCGAATTTGAACTACGATATAAATTCATAACAAACTCGTTCATGTGGTTCGCTTATAGATTTCGCATCGCATCGAGCAAAACTTTATTATTTATGACCTTTTTCGCTGAGAATAGTTTCGGCGGTCTTTGCATAAAATTCTTTTGATTCTTCTTTTTTCTTAACATCGCCAGATGAAAGGAGGAGTTGAGTACTCTTCTAAGTTGGATTCGTCTAACTCGAAAAGTATAATATAAATAATGTATACGTTGGGTAAGAAACTTTAATCCTTGCGATATTAGTACGAGCTTCTCGCACGCAAACAGGGGTAGGCTAACCCACAATCGAGGAAAATAGACGTAGAGCCAACGAAAAATTGACATTGGTATTTTTTAATGAAATAGCCAACGTGCTTATGCTCATTTAGTTGGATGTGGGTGGTTATCATTTTAAAACATATTTTTTATTTATACTCTTATTCCAGATCTAGTTATTATTATATAAGTTATGGATATTATATGATCATTTTATAACATATTAACAAATAATTAATATTAGTATAGGGTAAATCGCGCAAAATAGCCCCCCACAGATATCTCACAAACAAGTAAAGTTGAATATTTTTTAACAACAATGTTTGAAAATAGAAGGAAAAAGTTGAATATCCATCACCTTTATTCTCACGACGTAGCTATCGGATTGACCATTTTTCCGGTGACAAGTTTTTGAAAGATAGAAAAAAATATTTTTCTTCAATATTGAGTTAGTGGAAGTTTAACTGGGCATAGTCAGATTTGTTGTGATATAATTGGTTTGGTTTTGATGACATAATTGCTCAAAGTCAAATTGAACTTTTGTGCCCCGCCCTACTCTACACTAGAGCTAACACATAATGTAATCCTATTTTTTATTCAGCAATAATACATAAGATTGCAATTTTGCGTTGTAAGTTATATGCATTAATGTTACACATATTAACACTAATGTGTTTTATGCCAACGTTTGAAGATTGTGAGGAGGTGATCTTTCTCACAGATTCTCGATAAAATCCTTCTAGTTCCTTTGAAAAGATATATGTCGCAGTTCTCATCCGTTTTCGTAATGCAATGTACATATAATACGTTTTCAAAAACTTTATCAGTCTCCGGGAAAAGTTCTGATAGCGCGGCCCCAAGTTCTCACCGTCTATGGATGTCTCCACTACAGAGCAATATAGGTTGCGTGATAATGTCCTTATCTTAACAAAAGTTAGTTTCTGCGGGTGAAGGATTTCAATTGTTCAAACTTACTGACAGTTAATATACAATTGAACAGGAAATATTTTCAAAGTTCAAACCACTCGAACGGCTATTAAATTTGTGCATAAATACATGTAAAATTCAAAGGAAAAGCTTAGAAAACATTTATGCAGTGTTTATTGTAAATTTAAGGAGCCGCTCTATAAAATTTGCTGAAATATTAATCGACTATTTGAATAAATTTGCTAATTATTATTACGACTTCTAGAAGTAATAATATTTTATGACTTAGTACTACTACTTAATTTATTGATGAATAAGTATAATAGAAAAGGGTCATTTTTTGATTATATCAATATCATATTGGAGTATATAGTTTTGCAAAATTTTTGTTTTTGAATTGCTAAATGTATTTTACCTCGTGCTAGTACTCCTTAGTGAAAATTATTGCCAAATTTCATTACGAATAATTTGCATTTCAATGTTACTTCTAATCCACAGTAATTATTACTAATATTAGAATTAATTGCGTTTACTTTAATTGCCAATGAAAATGACATATTTAATGCCCTTTACGGAAAGTACGAAATATTTAAGACCGAAATATGACATGTTTCGCAAATGATTAAATCATTAATTATAACTCGCACGTGTGCCCCTACAATTTGCATTTGCAGTAATATAATTTCTGTGATTAAATTAATACACGTTAAGTTACTAGAACTTCTTGTTCTTATTACTTTCAAGAAATTTTCCTGTGAACGAAGAAATACTAGAAGTAATTTGTAATTGACAAATATTTTAATTTATCTATGCCATACGTGGAAGTAAAATTTTGTTCAAATTTGATGTTTGTTTGAGTAGCTAGAGCTAGAGCAATTTACAATAATTATACGGGGTAGGGCGGGGCACAAAGGTTTAACTTGAACTTAAGCAATTGTATTGTGGATACTAATTATATTACATCAAATAACACATATCAAACAAACAACTATCTGACTATGTTCAGTCAAACTTCCAGCTAGATTATTGAAGAAATGTCTTTTTTTGCTTTTTTTCAAAAATTAGTCCTTTTTATGGGTACATTTTTACAGAAATAACACTGATAATAACCTTGATCAGGTACTCAGTCAGAAATATTCATCAGCACAGTTCGAATAACTATTTATTTAATTTATCTCTTGTAATATTTTTTTAACTTAATTCCCTTTTTTATTTGTTATTTTTATTATACCTTTGCCAGGGTAAAGGTTTGTTTGGTACTTTTTACCCCACCCAGGTGATAGCTTTTTGGGAACTTATATAAAAAACCGTAGAATATAACTTAAAATTAATAAAATATATTAAAAACGAATGAAATAACATATACATAAAAATTATATGAAGGTTTCGTAAAGTAAACAACAGTGCTCACAACCAAAATAAATAAGAACGAACTAAAATACTTTTGTTATGGATTCTCAAACATTACTCGATAGCGACGTCGTAAGAATCAAGGTAATGGTTGGTTATATATCTTTTACCATCAACTTGCAAATATTGTTGTTAAAAAATTCCTAACTGTATTTGTTTTTGATATGAGGGTCGTGGACCTTTCAAACCCCAGACCTTTAAACCCGCTCTTTAAAATTATTTATTTCTTTTGGTTCAACTCAAATAAAAATTAATACACGTGCTTGGAGTCAGTATTCCAGTAGTGTGTTAAAAGAAAGCCATATTAATTTCTAAATCAATTTTAAGTACCAAAACAGGCTTACCGCTCACCCAAATGTTCTTGCAAGAAAACTGCTAGAACAAATACACCTCAGACTATTGAAAAAGATATCCTAATGATTTGTTTTAGATTACTTTTATTCTTACGTTTCATACGGCATACAATTCTGGGGTTTTTGATCCGAACTAATTAAAATATTTAAGCTTCAGAAAAGAGCTATTCGAATCATTTTTTCCTTGCCCAGTAAAGCCTCCTGCAGACCCATATTTAAAAAATACAATATTCTAACTGTCCCATGCATTTTTCCGCTGGCAACATTATCTTTCATCAAAAACAATTCGAAACTTTTTGATATGGCTTCGTCCTCCTCAAACTACAACACTAGACACAGACTTAGGCGCGCACATATAAATTAGACAGCTCTTTCAATACGATCGACGGTCTAGGTATTCAGCTTATGAATAAACTTCCACTCAATATCTGAAACTTAGACAGCAAAAAGTTTCATGCTTCCCTAGTTAAACTTTTTAAAGAATTAGCTTTTTATGACATTACTGAATTTTCTCAATTTGATTTCAATAACTATTTTCTTGCTTAATCCTTATACTTTATCTATGTAGTCTGACCATTTGATCGCCTGTACAACCATTTTTTTTTATTGCTATTTTATTAATTTAAAATTTTTACGTTTTCAAATGAATATAACTTTCAACCTTGTGCAAGAATTTTAAGCTTGACTGATGGTCAAATAGATTTTGATATGATGAATTTAATGATGAATTCGATTGCTTTTTTTCAGCTCTTTTTTTTTCAGAAGCGAAATTCGTGCAGCTACTATGATTATTATAAAATTACTATCCTTATAATATTAACTATGAATAAGCGTGTAGAGCCTGAAATAATATCTATTATTATTGATTACGGCTTGCTTATGAATAAATAAATAAATAAATAAATAGGTCTAATAATAAGTAAAACTTTCATTTTCATCTCTTCTTCTTCATTTGACTATCTATACCGCAACATTCTGAAGAACTGCATCAATGGATCATGTACAGTTGATTTTATTTTCCATGAAGATAGATAATCAAATAAATATAATTAGAAATACAATACCTGCTAATAACAGAAAATTTAAAAAATCTTACGAATTCTAACAATTATTCTTTCCTCTTCAGCGCGCCGCCTTAGCGAGTACGTGTCGCATTACGAGCCGCTGCACTACGACTCGGCGCCAGTGCACAGCGATCACCAACGTGTCCGGCGGTCGGCGGACTTCGAGTCGGAATCGAGTCGTCTCCGGCTGAGGTTTAAGGCGCACGGGCACGACTTCAGGCTACGGCTGAGGAGGGACCTGAGCGCCTTCAGCGATCGGCTAGAGGTCCATGGGCCGGAAGGACTCATCCATGGGGTCGACACGTCGCATGTGTACGAGGGAGATCTGCAAGGTAATTATAAGGATATCTTATATATAAAAATGGAGCTTTCTTTCAAATGTCCAAGTAAAACTCGAAAACGGCTAAACCGATTTGGCCAGTCTTAGTCTTGAAAAATTCGTGCCAATCCAGAGATGGTCGGAAAGGTGAGATAATATTTCAAAATCGTGTAGAAACTTTACATTTTTAATTTGAAAATTTTAGTAGAAGCGTAATTTGAATAAAACAATGGACGGTGGCTAATATCTGAAATGTCAAACTATTTTGACAGATGATGTTCAATCACATTTAATAGGATGCTTTACGTGAATATTATTTAATTATGATTAAATTAAAGGTAAGTAGTTTTGTTTGTAGTTTTATTTATATACAAAAACGTTAGTAAACGGGCCGCAAGTGTAGTACTAGAAATTAAATATCAACTTTTTTGAAATATTTTTCTCAAACACGGTGCTCTGATAGATCTCATTTGTATAATTATATACTCATTGGTATTTATAAAACATTTTCAAAATGCAAAACCTAAATTTGGTATCGATCAAATGGACATTTTGCCGAATAACATTTTAATATCGCAGAATTTATCGAAGAATAGATAGTAATATATGAAGGTCCGGGGTTAAAAAAGTCCACCAGCAATGTGTCAAAAACCAGTAAAGTTAAGGAATTGAAAAGTAGAGAAAAAAGATGTATAACCAGCTATTACCTTGATTCTTATGACTTTACTATCTGGAGATAAACGGTAATCTTTGAAAATCCATAATAAAAGTATTTTCTTCCGTTGGTAGTTTTTTAGCATTAGTTAAACGTGTAAATATTTTGTAAAATACCTTTAAAATTAAAATAAGAGATTAAACCTGTAAACGGCTACTTGGCCGTTCCAAGTTACCCTGTCTATGGGGTAGGAAGTCTAGATAACAAATTTTTTGAAGGCATCAAAAAGCAGGTCAAAGAAGAAATTCTTAATTCATTTTCTAAATTAAATTTGAAAATTTTGTATAAGCTCAGTAATATTATTTACAATTATACACAAAATCCAGAATCCAAAAAGAATCTGAAAAACTTGAAACGTAATCAATAAGTCGAAAGACCAAGAAAGACTTGGATTGGATTATACTATGTTTTCTATAAAAAGTGTATAAAACTTTCAGTTTGATTGTATTGACAAAATATAGACAAACTAATGAGGTTTATTGTTTTTATAATACCTTATTGTATATAGCATTCAAACAACGCATCCTTATACACTTAAAGTATTATTTTTTTTTTATTCTCTAGAAATTGTTTAGAATATATCATATTTAGCAAAACAACGTTTGTAATATATATATATATATATATATATATATATACATATATTAATATTTATATAATATAATATATATATATATATATAATAATAAGGATTTATTTTAAGGATATTATTTAATAAAATATTAGAAACATGAGATTTGGCAATAATAATGATTAGAAAATTTATTGAAATTTTCAATTTTCTTTTAATTTACAACTGTTTGAATATGTTGTTTAGTAATTTTTAAATTCTCGTAGGTTAAATTAATGCAATCGCAAACAAATTGAAAATGAAAATTTTTATATTTCAAAAGTTTTACGTTTTAAAAGCTTCTGAACATTTTGGCATACATTTGAAAAAATGGACAGAGTTAATTTTCACTTACTAACTAGCAAAATTGATGGCTATGCTACACCTAAAAGCGATAAGAGCTTAATTAATTGTTTTTGCTTTCAAAAAAATAAATTATGAGCAATAATAGTAAAATAATATAATCTGATTACAACTATGTATTAATAGAATTCTGGTTTATTACCTTGGAATAGCATGCAATTTAGATATACTCGTATGATTTGATGATAAATAATTGCACACGAAAAGCCTTTTAGACATGACATTTTCATAAAGCATGAAACGTAAAATTGAATATAACAGAGGCGTAAAATAAATAGATAATATGATTCTTTTTAAATTTTATTTAAAATTTATGCGTTTCGGCCATAGTTTCAGGCTTCAATATGTGAATCTACAATATGCAACAATAGGATTTTGGATATAAAAATAATAAAAGTAATATAATTTTAATCAATAAGTAGGTACTAACAATTTGTTTATCCTAATATTGAAATAGAAATAACAATTATATATGTTATGAGGTATAACTATATGATGTAATAAATGTAATATGTAATATAATCATGAAAATTCTTATATTATATTATATTTATGAAGTTATTTACATATATCACAATTCAACTAGTATATTTTATATAGAAAATATGTGTGCTGTGTCTAGATAAAGGTATTTAAAGAATATATGGTTAACAGGATTTTCGATGCTCCGGTTATATTACACAATATGTTATGTTTCTGATGTTTTCTTTTGATAAAGATAAAAGCATCGATACAATTTATATCTTTTCATCTCAGAATATGTCTTAAAATGTCAAATTATCTCGCAGGTGACCCCGGCAGCGCCGTGTTCGGGTCGGTGATCGACGGCGTCTTCGAGGGCAAGATCATCTCCAAGTCAAAAGGAACGTTTTACGTTGAAAAGTCGCGACACTACTTCCCAGGGGAAAACAATGCCAGTTTTCATTCCGTTATCTACAACGAGAAAGACGTAGCCGACCCTTATGAGTCCCTTCGAGAAGGTATGGCGCCCCAAAACAATCTAAATGCATATGTGTTTTTTTGCTCCAGTCGCGCGGTAACTTCTCCGCGCTCATCTTCTATGTTTTGCTGTTTTTGTTTTCTTTAATGTACGTCGGAACGACGTGACTTTCGAGCGGCAAAAACCGATTTGATCACTTCTGCTTTCGCAAGTACTTCCGGATTTATATTTTACCGCTTTTTACTTGAAATCCTTCCTTAAAGTTACTTATCATTCATTAGTACATGAATCTGAATAAGATACGGTAGCAATTTAACTTCCAGCAATTATACTAAATGAACTGTAAACCAAATGAACAATATTCCGACACATAACACGTTTCAAACAACCAACTATCGAACAATATTCTGAATTATTCCTAGATAATATAGAAATATGTTTTTCAAAGTTTCAAAAGCAAAAACTTTTTTTACAGAATACAAGTTTTTTAGATTGTTATATTATAATCAAATGAAAAAAGTTTTTCATCAAATACATTCATTACCATGTCTCAAACGACTTTTTTTAATATGAAGCAGACTAATTCCACCTACGGCGAAGTAATGGAACAAACTCAATTAACTTTATTATAATCAATGCAAATGAATCTTGTTTCACTTAAAACATATAAATTAAAAATGCCGACATCGATGAAAAATGAATACTTCAAAGAACCCTGAATGACTATGAATATAAATCGTTTCATAATTGACAATGAGTATAATCTGGGGAGGAATCCCTTTTGGGAATTAAAACGGCTTTTCGGTGAAAAACCTCCGTTATGGCTCGATATTAATGTTGGAAAATGGCTAAAAGTTAGGCTGAATACACACTTGCGAAATGTGCTATTTTTTGCTTATTATTTTCTGGGTCAAATATGTTTTTAAAATTAAAGTAGCATTTTTATTTATATGAACAATGAACAATTATAAATTTTGTATTTGTATAAATTTTGAAATTTTGAATTTCATATAATGCATATAAGTTGAGTTGCAATGATATAATACAGATTTATAATATCACTGCAAAAAATCGAATTAGGTCTGTTTTTATTTTAATTCTACACGCATGTATAATTTGCATATGTATGCATTTGCATACGCACATTTCAAATGTCTTAATTAGGAATTAGGAATTAGGAAAATTAGGAATTAATAATTGGTAAGAAAATATAGATAAGTCATTGAAATATTGGTTTTTTATTCTTCAAAAACTATCAAATTTTCGTATCAAATCAAATATTTTTGGCTCAAAACCCCTTTTTTAAGTTATGGTAAAAAAGGTCAGAAAGAATTGAAACTTATTTGATTAACACTCTCGATTTTTGTAATTTCAATAACCTATCATTCCCAATAAGTTTTACCTCCACATCACTAATAGTACTTTAAATGCTAAATAAATTGTACATATTTGAAATTCACCTTTTTCTGATATTTTATTCATTCCATTTACATATTATTTGAATCAGCTTAAAATAAATTGACTATATTCTGCACGAACACTCACTAAAATGAAAAAATAATGTTGAAATAAATATAAAGTAATATTAATGAATTAATTTTAATAAATTGCCACCACATTGTTTAGCTGTGATGCATTTTTATGAAACACAGTGAGAGGAGCAGAAAGTAATTTCGTTTACATGTAATAGCTGTCCAGGGGATTGTGACAAAGTTTTATTTGGTGTTCGGAATAGACACAAATGCAAAAATGTTAATAATGCATAACTTTATTATTTCACAAAAAGTGTTGTGCGAAAGTTTTGCTACTGGATTTTTGTTTAATTACCACACCTTCCGAGAAATCAAAATTGGAAATTATATCATAGCATATGAACGCAATGGATTTCAGATATAAGTACTTTTTTATAATGCTATGTAAATAATAAAATTTTAATAAAACAGAGAAACTTACTGATAATAAGAGACCTAATTTTTTCACCATACCCCTTTACTGCTCTCAGTATATACTAGTATTTTGATAATAATGAATTAGATTTTTAATATAATCGTCACAGATAGGGGGTCAATCTACGGGTTGCTTCTCATGGTTAAATCTAAAAAGCACAAAATATGTACAATACGATAACCATCATATTACCCAGACAAAATTGGTCTTACAGATCTCAACAGTAAAGCACTAATGCAAATGCGGATGAATAGTTTAATTCATTTAAGGTATATTAATCCTTCACGATCTATAAATCTTTGATCAACTAATTCATTCTATCTCAATTTAATCTGATCATATAAATCATAAATCAGTCAACTGTTAAAATCCTGTAAGCCGTCGACGATTTGTCGTTGATTTGAATTCTAAACACATCATAGGATAATTCGCACATGCGATGCTTTTGACGCGCTCCAGGGTAATTAACCTAAATAAAATGCGTGCGAAGAGGCCCAAACTTGTCAGATTTGATATTCGAAAACGAAACCAACAACAAAGCACTATAATTAGATAATTTTGTTTGAAAATTGAGTGAAAGTTGTCTCTTTTGCCTATCGTTTTGAAACTTGAAAGTTGAACCTTGAAATTATTTATTTCGTGATAATTCAATTGCTCAGTTTCTAACAAAAAGATACAAAGGTATAATTCTCCCATTATTTCTAATAATGATTTATTTCGAATAGGTCATGTGCCTGGTTGCGGAATCAACGACGACGTTCTTCAATGGATGGAGCAGGTCCAAGCTTCGGGCGTGGACGATCCGCCTCCAATTCCAGTGATACATCCTAGTAACAAGTATAAATTTTTAAATAATAATACGCAAAGTAACGAGATTCTCAAAAAAGTTCTTAGTCAACGAGACGTGAACACGGAAACGCACAATAAATATTCTAGAGAAGCAAATGAGGGCCATTCGAGACACAAAAGGGCCAGTAGGCATAAGGAGGATAACAAAAATACCTGTTCATTATTTATACAAACTGATCCATTGATATGGAGGCATATTCGAGAAGGTTTCGCAGAGGTAAGGGAATTTATAAGTATTTTTCTTATTATTGGTATTTGCTAGTTTATAAAATTATACCGGCTGTTTTATCAGTATTTTATTTCATTTTTCACTTTTTAAATTTATATACCGACCAGTAAATTACAGATTATTTAATTGACTACCGTTCAAATTAATATTTATATCAGCATGAACTGCTTTAACCCATTCGTCTTGTTGTACGAGCCTGTTGACCACCAAGTATTTGCTTCACATGATATTTTTAGATTTACCATTTATTACCTACAAAAATATTCAACTATACTGGTGAAAAACAACAAATCACAACAACAAATTAGAATTCTGAATAATGTGACTCGTGTGATGACTATTGAAGCAAAATTCGTTACACTGCATGGCGATGTCGCCTTTACATGACGCTTATAGCGAAAGACATTTCTTAAGTCAGAGCGTTTTAGCCTTATTTATGTTGATTCAGAAATATACATTTATTTAATTTCAGCACAAGGATTACAGCAAAAAGGCAGAAGTTGATGAAAAGACTCGGGAGGAAATTTTGTCATTAATCGCTCACCATGTAACGGCTGTGAATTATATATATCGTGATACAAAATTCGACGGGCGAATAGAACATAGAAATATCAAATTTGAAGTCCAACGGATAAAGGTAAGATTATTATAATTTTGATGCATATGAAATATTTTTTCAATTAATTTTAACTAACGTTATAGCAACTACCAATTGGTATGTAGCAGTTAGTTCTATTCTTGGATATGATCAATATTTGTAAACATCTTGTTTATAAAGTTTGTTTGTATGATATATTCTACTTACTCCATTATCTTTTGAACGTTTCAGAATATTGTGAAAAAAAATTAAGATTAACCTATCTTTATAATTTAATGTTATTTTTTCCAGATCGATGATGATTCTGCATGTGGCTACCCTTTCGCAGGAGAACCTAATCAATTCTGCATGGAGAACATCGACGTGTCCAATTTTCTAAATCTTCATTCTTTAGGAAATCACGAAGACTTTTGCCTAGCCTACGTGTTCACCTACCGCGACTTCACTGGTGGCACCCTAGGCCTAGCTTGGGTAGCCTCGGCCAGTGGAGCCTCGGGGGGCATCTGTGAGAAATACAAGACATACACTGAAACAGTCGGAGGAATGTATCAATCGACAAAGAGGTCTTTGAACACGGGGATTATCACTTTTGTCAATTATAATAGTCGAGTGCCTCCGAAAGTGTCTCAACTTACACTAGCTCATGAGATCGGACATAATTTTGGATCACCGGTGAGAAATTTAGCAATTACAGAACATTAATAATATGCAAGCAATATTTGTACATGTTTCTCTTCCTCAGCATGATTACCCCCCGGAATGTCGTCCTGGTGGTGCCAATGGAAATTATATAATGTTTGCTAGTGCCACAAGTGGTGACCGACCAAACAATAGTAAGTTTTCAACGTGTTCCGTGGGCAACATCTCAAACGTTTTGGACGCCATCGAGGATAATAAGAAGAGAAATTGTTTCAAAGCATCTGCTGGTGCCTTCTGCGGAAATAAGATTGTGGAAGCTGGGGAAGAATGCGACTGCGGTGAGATACTATATTGGATTTTGAAATATATTTATACTTTAATGCTTTAACTTGACCCATAATATTTTAAAGTTCAATTTACGTAATAGAATGAATTAAATCTGAAGCAGATCTAAAATTATAATTCTTGGAGTTGTTTCTAAATCGCATCGTGAATAATATATCTAATTTGTATTGTATTATTTTTGCTATTAAGGATATGATGATGAGGAGTGCACTGATAAATGTTGTTATCCTCGAGTTGTCAGCGATATTGATAGATTAAAAAATAGTACCGCCAGTGGATGTAACAGGAGAGCAAATACACAATGCAGTCCAAGCCAAGGACCATGCTGCCTTAGTGATACATGCAGGTATGAAACAAATTCAATGATTTAAAATAATTTATGTAATGTGCAATAATACGTAGAAATATTGATGAATTTACTGATATGTTGCATATTAAAAATGAGTTGAATTCATTTAGCATGATTCATAAAAATCAAAATTGTGAAAAAGTCTTAATATTGATTTGCAGAATTTATAGAATTTTTTATCCTAAAAAATAATTATTGTTTGTGCTGATATAATTTTTTTAAATTTATTGAAATAGTTTATAACGAAAATATACACGTCCCAAGTTTAATTCTTTATTCAATGTAATGCTTGGTATATAATATTATATATCAATATATTTAGGTTTGTGCCGGCGTCTTTCCGAACAAAATGCAAATCAGAATCTGATTGTTCTTGGAGCTCAACTTGTAATGGTTTGTCACCAGAATGTCCAGCACCCAAACCGATGGCAAACAAGACACGTTGCAACAATGGTAATTAAATTTTAATTTACATTGAAATTATAAAAAAATTGCATTTTTACTTTATTATATCGCGCAATTGTACCAATTTTACATTGATAATTTGTTACATTTATTTTTACAAAAACAAACTTTACTTTTACATTTGAAGTCGTTGACATGTAATCAATATTTAATAACGTTATAAAAATTAAATTTTTAACAGAAATTCATCTATAAAAGCAGGCACATACATTCACTTGGTATTTACATCTTTTATTTCAGGTACCCAGTTGTGTATAAATGGAGAGTGTAGTGGTTCTATATGTCTTGAATGGAATTTAACAGAATGCTTTTTGACATCAAGTATCATTCCAAATATTGATAAGCGTAAACTATGTGAATTGGCATGTCAAAATGGAACAGATCCTGCAACATGCCGAAGTACAAGTGAATTTGCTCACCAAGTGGGCTTACCACCCGGTGGCATCAGTTTGCGTCCAGGTTCCCCTTGTGATAATTTTCAGGTAAAATTTATGTTTATTCCATATCATATTAGAGCAAGCTCTATTTTTTATTTAATATTTTGATCATTTATCATAACTTTCAAATTATAATTTACAATTTTAGGGTTACTGTGATGTTTTCTTAAAATGTCGTGCAGTGGATGCCGAAGGTCCATTAGTCAGATTGAAAAATATGCTTTTCAATAAACAAGTTTTACTCACATTAGCCCAGTGGGTAACTGAATATTGGTACTTTGTAGTCCTAATGGGGTTAGCATTTATTATAGTAATGGGTGTGTTCATCAAATGTTGCGCTGTCCACACTCCTAGTTCAAATCCTAAAAAGCCTCCTGCAAGACGAATTAGTGAAACACTGAGGAGGCCAATGAATACATTAAGAAGGATGGTAAGTTAAAAATAAAAATATATTTATTTTATATGAATATTTAAATTCTGGAAAGAGAAGTTTGTCTTTACGAAAAAATCTGAATTGCTAATGTAATGTTCTATTTTATTAGTTTTATCGTTGGTATAATATAATAATATAAATTTATCATTTATTAGCGGCATCAACAAGGAGGCGGAGGTCCTCGAAGTGTGCCTGTGAGTGGGCAGAGTGGTGACCGCAGCAGACCAGGAGGAAGGGGGAGAAGTAGGAGTAGGGGCGAAAGTAGCGGCGGTTCCAGGTCGCATCAACATAGTAGAGGTGCTCCTACGAGGGGCTACTCAGAAGGGCGGCCCCAGTATCATCCAAAAGGTTTGTTAAAGATATCTTTAAATTATGATTATGTTTTTGGATGGCTCGCTTACTAAAATATTAACAAAACTAGGTCGCATGTCTGAACATATGCTTAATAATACCTTCTTAAGTCATTGGGATGGCACCTCATTATTCATTCATTTTGATATGTCTGTTTTTTTTTCAAAATCATGTTATTGTTATGAGCTAAAACTATCTTCTTTTCATTTCGTTTCGTGTCAATCGGTAATCGTTGTCATTTGATGTTCTTAATTTTTGGATAAGTGCTTGCGGTGGCACATGCATGTCGATGTTGTCTGTGTCTAATAAATTAAAATATTATTTGTATAAGATCATATTATACAATCATAGCAATAGTTTTTTTGCGCTTTTTCGGAATAAATGGAAGAATGCTGGATTACTACACACAAAAGGATCATGCTTTCGGCTGTCCAAAATTTGAAGTCGTGTCATAGAATCTATTTTTAATTTGTTTAATATCAGTCCTTGAATAAAGTTCACAGATATAATCTACTTAATATTAACTATAATCGTAACTATCGTATTAAATATTTGGTGATAGAATATTGGAAAAAAGTACTACGAGATTTTCAATATTAAAAATTAAATAGACCATAAGTAGTTTTGCCTCCTTTGGCAAAAGCTGATTATTTAAAATTTGTATTGTCACAAAAAATAGGTTCTTAAATTAAAAACCGATATTTTTTACTAAAAACCAGTTTTTGCGTTTCACAATTATCTAAAAAAAGGTTTTTAAAAACCGACAAAACACTCCTATAAATTATATATGGCATATTCGTTATTAACATGATTACAAATGATATATTCGATAATAATGATTATTAAAATATAGTTAGTATATAATGTTTCGGGTCCTTGGTGTGTGAGCAAACAAATCAATGACTGCGTTTTCCTACCTTGTTTCTTTTTACCATTACCATTTCATTACTTTTATTAACATTTTCATTCATTTTTATGCATTTTCGTTTGGTTCCTGGTCTTGTATTTTGGCTTTCAGTTCCTGTATTCATTCTTCTCGCGTAAGTCATCAATCATCTACATTTTTCTTCTTCCTAGTAGTTTTCGGGAAATTAATATATAAATCATATTGGGGTTAATCCGAACAAAACTTACTAACTACAATGCGGTAATTATTTAATATCGTAAACTTTTATTTCGAAAACTCACTTTGATCCGCAAACTAAGTCTTGTGTAGAAATCCAGTTCAACGTCCCTATTGATTGGGCTGAATTTATGTTTCATTTACTTTATCGCATGGCTTAACAATGAATGTAGCATTAACAGAAGGCACGAGAGCACTTTTGTGGTTTGTGGTAATTGTACCGTCGTTTAAATCCCCGATTAAATGTAAATATCCGATGTTTCTGTTTGTAGCATCGTCGAGCCATCATGGCCACGGCCGTTCTAGTCATTCAGAACCTTATGCCGGTGCTTATGGCGACCAACGCAACGCATATAAAATGAGGCAGCATAAAGTCTGACAGTATTCTAATTTAATTCAAGCATATCAAATGCCAAACATTCAGCCCATGAACGAGGTCCACACAGTTTGCCAAAGTGACGGACTCGTCTTACAGCCGATATTTTCCAACGATTGTTATCAGTTTGCGAGTACATCTTTTCCAGACGTGGTTCCGGAATCGGAACTACAGATAAACACTAATTCTATATATTACACAGATCCTACTCTTCAGTTGGGTTCCATGCCTCATATGATTATGGGATATCAATCGCCAAATATCACATCTGCTCAGAAGCAGCCAACGGTTTTATATAAAGCGGTTTCGATGTTACAGTCACCAGAAAATTCGGCCGATAACTCACCAAATTCAAATTTCGCAGTTCGTTTTGACAAATCTGTACCAGTCCAACGGAAGCAGTCTCAATTGAAAATTATTATTATAGAAACTAATGGCTCTGAGACAAATATTACTGGTCATTTATCAAATACGAATGATCCTTCTGCTAGTGTTATCAGTGTTGAAAAAGATAAAACTGCCAAAATAATTTTAACGGAGCTGCCAAATATTTCTGTAGAATTACCAACCAAGACGACATGTGAAATGGTTATATGAATAGAGGTGAAGACAATTTACTATGTGGTTATCAAGTGAGAGTAAAATGTGTGGACTCTAAAATATATATTATGCATAAACTTCAGCAAGACTGGTTTGATCTGAATATAATCAAAAGTTTGTCAGTGATCAAAAACTATATATCATCATGTTTATGGAAAATATCCTTATAATTTATAAGTCTTTTAATCATAAGAAGTCATCTCATAAATAAGTCTATAGGCAATAATTTTTACAATTTTTACAAGTATTAACTTTGTGCATTTTATAAGCATTAATTTTTAAGAAGTAATATTTTGCAGTTAAGAATTTAATTTGTCTTAATTGCAACATTAGCTAATTTTTTAAAATTTTGTTATTCTAAGTTTTATTTACAATTGTAATTGTATGGAAAATGCATATCTCGAAAGTATATAAGTTTGATAAGTTTTAAAAATTTATTGATAAAAGCATTTACCTCATATTCGTATACATAAAAAAAAAAATAAAAACTAGAACGAAAACAAAGTTCATAATTTAAAAAATAGTTACTCATTCCGATTTCGATATTTTGAATTTGACTATTATTGAAAATATGTGTCATATATTTGTATACTATTTGTTTTTTAAATTCGTAATATAGTGGAAAGACTCATTTCAATTGATTTTTATAAAATACAATTATTAATATATAATATTTTATATGAATCAATCGTTCTATACCATATTAATTTTTATTTTATATAAAAAACAATTATTTGTAAAATTTCAAAATTATTACGTTATCAAAAATTCTCAGCTATTTTATACAAATGCCAAATATGAACAAATATTATAGTTATCATCAAAATTTGGTTTATTATCAATTATATATACTTAACTGTTAAACTATAGTTACTTTGTATTAAGTTTTGATAAATTCGGAGTTAAATTTTTATTAAAAATGCCTTACAATTTACATATTATGGGAACAGATAATCATATTTTCATCAACCTTACTCGAAAATCTGTTTATATATATATATATATATATATATATATATACATATATATATAACATATATATATATATTTATATATATATTATTGATTATATATATATATATATATATAATATTTGATATATATATATATATATAAATATATATATATATATATATATATACTCGTATATATATATATATTGAATTATTTTAAGCTACAAATAGTGTCTTTCTCTTTTAGACATTGCATTGTTTTTTAATCAATTTTTTTAAATACACTTTTTAGTGATTTACATTTTAAAGTATGTAATTTATCTGTGTACCCATGTATCTCTTAAATATTGCTAAAAGTCAACATTTTGTATAACAGCACAATATTCACGTGAATATTGAAAATGTTAATTGTACCAAGAATGAAAAACAATATCTGTTCATTAGAAGGCTCGAATTATTTTTATTTGATTATTGCAATCTGCATTTTGTTTATAGTGTTTCTTATCAAATCTACACAAAACAGAAATATACAAGTTTTAAAAATATATCTGAATTAGTTAAGTTTAAAAAAAATGTATGGAAAATATTGATTTTGTTACAAAATTATAAACATAATTCTGAAAGTTGCGGGCTTTATAACTTCTGTTATGCTTACGATTAGTCAATTGTTTTTCCACATGTGTTTCAAATATTTTGTTGATATATATCATGAGATCATGTTTAATTCTGCTCATATAAATTCTTTGAAGATAATAAACTTTTATCCTAAAATAATGTGTAAAATAATAAAATGTTATATTTCTATGATAAATATATAAATAAGAACCTCTATATCATAATATATTCTTCGAACACGGACAAAAATGATTGTAATTAGATGTATATTATTTAAAGTTTTCTTTTTCATCTGAGTACTATATCATGAAAATACATGTTATATATTTTACCTACCATATATAATATATTGCAACTTAGAATTAGCAACATAGACAAATAATAAATGACACATGATAACTTGTACAGACACAATAATGTGCTCGAGACTATTGATGTTTTTCTTGGCATTTAGGATTAATTGAGTATGCATTGTATAAATGAAAAAATGTAAATAAAAACGTTTTGATATATAACACAGTAAACTTATTCGAAACAATTAACAAATTGTATTATTGAGTAAATAATTATAAATGTTTTTGTAATATTACCACATACTCTTGCATATAAGTCTATATTAATTTGTATGATTGAATTCGATTTCATTTAAAATTTAACACGAGTATTAGTGATGTAACAATATTCGATTAGAGTGATTTTACACCGTTATGACAAATTTTTCTCATTATTGGTTATTTCTTTCGTTTTAGATGAATTTACTTCTAAAATTTGTAACCATATTTTACTCCTAACCAATGTGTTTGCATTATACTTGTGCAATTATAGTCTTGGGATTTCATAGTTTAGGAAGGGTATTTAATTTAAATATAGTCAGTTTAATTATTGTTCAATAGACAAAAAATATTAATTTAATTTCAATATTGAACATATTATTTTTTCTCTCCGTATTAGATTTTTCTCGCAATCAGACATTTTTATTTATATTGTTGAAAATATTCTACTTTCTTTTTTCTTCTCTTGTTTTATTTATTTTTTGTATTTTTATTTTTCCATTTTTTATTATTTTTTTATCTTAGGGGGCACCTATTAATCACGTGATCGCGTTTCCAAACATTTTGGATCCCTTCTTTACCTTTGTTATACGCAATGATATTTAAAATTAACACCCTTTCCCCTCCAATATCACGTGTTAAAGATTTTTTTTTAATTCAGGTAAAAAATAAATACACGTGATATTTTACTAGCCGCCCCGTTATGATATTTCGTGATTTTTTCTCAAACCTCTCCTCCCTTTTTAATCTTCTTATCTATTAGGGCAACTCAAAGTACTCATCCAAATTGCAACATTATTACATCACTAATATATAACCTGCAAAGAGTATTCATGATCCAAACAAATCAGTAAATATAATTATTTTATTTTTATTATATTATTAAACTTGAATTTTGAATTGACCAATCATTATTGTACAAAATCAGATGTGTTGCAAATTACATCATCTCGAGGTAAGATAATTATGTTATTCACAAAGAGTGAATGTATCATAAGATTTTAATTTTAATTTTAATAATTATCTAAAGAACCATCAGCACATTAAATTTGTATAAAAGACATTTTACCATAAATATAATTTTTGTATAAAGTGTGAATATTTTGTTCAAAATATTTCTATATGTTAAATTGTATCTAAAACCATTTGAAGTATAAAATACAACACATTTTACAAATATGTTTTATTTTGTTGTTCCATAGTTTTATGAAATTATTTACAGCACAGGTACACCTTCATCGAAAGTGGCCAATCACGTTATATAAAATATTAACCTTTGAAAACGGACTAAGGCTATTAAAAAACCATGGTGAAAAGGTATAAAACTGGTTTGAACCTGATATTTACTGTATTCAAGTTGAGTGAAATATGTATAACACAAAGCATGGATAGTAGTCCATGGTTTTAACTTGGTATTTTCAAATTGAGTGAAATGCGGTTAAAAAAAGTATAAAAAACCCGTGATATCTTTGAATATTTTATAAAAATAAAACGGCAAAAACTATGTTAAAATTATTTTTGAATATTTCATAAAAATAAAACGACAAAACTTTGTTAAAAAATCCGTGGATATAGGATAATACCAAAATTAGTACACACCACTGGCGTGCAGGTGTCATTTGGCAGGAAAGATGCAGGTCAGCCAGGTCACAATTTCCATTCGAAACAAAAATTCAAAACAAATATATATTTTCAATAGTATAGATTTTAATTGAACCTTAAAAATAAAAAGAGAAATTCACCAATTTTTTGCAAGTATAGATTTTATTGAACCTTAAAAATAAAAAAGAAAGAAATTCACCAATTTTTTGCAAGTTTTTTTAGGTTCAAATAAAATAAAATTTAATCCTGAATACAATGAATTTTGTCTCGTTTCGATAGGATGTTTTGTTTTCCTCTCTTTCCCGCTAATTAGGAAGAATCGAAAAAATTAAAAATCGCGTCGAAGTTTTCGTTCCGCTCGTATACATGCTTGACTCTTGCTCACTATTTCTTCTGTAATTTCGAAAATAATTTGAATTTGTTTCTGAAATTTTAGGGATATATTCTTGGCTGGTTTTGGAAGACATTATTGCAAAAAAACGATTTTTTAAGCCTCTAAAGCAGGCACCCCCCTCAAATCGTTTCAGCACTTTAGTTTTTTTTTAAGTTTTTGGCGTAGTAAACATAAATTTGCATATTATTGAATTAATTATATAGTTAAATAATTTATACATTTTGAAGATATGAGTAATTCTCATGTTGTTTGATGTTTATAAAAGTAGAGCTTAATTACTCTTTACATGGAAATGTTGTGGTTAGGGGAAAACGGCTAGGTATTAAATTTAAAAAGTATGTTTTTTTTAATAAAAATAAAAACAAACTTTGATAATATGTATAATGATGACCGGGAGAGTAATATTTTACTTTTAGCTGACAACTGTGGCTCTTTCGCAAATATTTTTTGGAAAAATAGCACGCCATCCACATTTAAGTACTGCTGATTTGTCAATCATTAAAAGGATATGGGTCGGAGGCGGATCTGTGCCCTTTAAACTTATTCAAGATGTCAACAAATATTTAAAAAATGGGTACTGTTAAATGTTAAATATAATTTATTTATTTTTACCGCATTTTTTCAGTATGCTTATTGTAGATTCATCTGAATGAATTATGGCCAAACCGAGGTTGGTGGAATTTCAATGAACATTGATAAAATATTAAAGCCAAACTCTGTAGGACATTTACATAAAGGCTATCACGCTAAAGTATGAAAAATTAAGTACTATAGATTACATATTGAAATCAAGAATAACTCAGTTATTTCAATATGATTTTTTGTAGATCGTGAGTTCAAATGATGAAAAAATTCTTTCCCGACTCGAGACAGGAGAAGTATGCATAAATCAACCATTTAAAGCTAAGGTAAATAACTTTTTAAATAATTTAACCCATTACAAATTATAATTTAGAAGAATATTTTGTAGGGATATTGGAATAGTACTCAAGCCAATGAAGAACCGTTTGATGACGATGGATGTGTCAGAACCGGCGTTGTTTGTAATTTGAAAAAAAGTGTTAAACTTTTCGTTCACTTTTGGAAAACTGTGCGAAAGATGTTAGTTGGGGATGATACTGATTAGTTTTAGGTGAAAATCTGCCCAGCCGTTTTCTTGTAATCAACAGTTGATAAAAAAATTTAAGCCGATTTTAATGGAACTTTTATTTGCGATATATATCATTGTCTTATAGAACTTATTAAAAATCGGCTTAAGACAAGTAGTTTAATTTTAAAAATTCATCAAGAGAAAATGAGTAGTTTTTTTGACCTTTGTTAAAATTCAAATTAGACGATTTACTTGGTATAACGATAGAGTACTTGGTCTTAATGAACATACTAAACCATTAAAGTCCTACAGAATATGGTACAATTATAAAAATTATTGATTCTATAGAAAAATATTGAATTAATTGAATGAAAATAAAAATTGCTGTAAATATAAATATAAAATTATTAATAATTGTTAATAATAATATTAATAACTATTGTTGAAATTCAAAAATATATATATTAAGGACCACCCTATATCCATGGTTTTTTAAACAAAGTTTTGGCCGTTTTATATTTTCAAATGTTCAAAGATTCTATGTTCTACCCACGGATTTTTTAACAAAGTATTTTGAGACTAGTTGGTACATGTACATTTTTATTTGTGGATAACACGATTGTTGGTTTTGATCAAATTATTTCAAATACTCAATACGACTCACCAATTTGTTAATTAAATGCAGCTTTGAAAAGTCTTTTACTATAATGCATGCAAATGCATTTTTGCTTCAAATTGAATGTGGTGTGAATCTATGCTATTTTCATGCCACATACTTGATAAAGAAATACATCTCGGATATAACATATTGTATTCTGATTTTCACCTGAAAATAAAAATGTGGTAATAAGTTAGATTTTAATACATGCATTTGTCATATACTTACATAAACAAATTGTGTTTGCAAATTCTGTGTTGAATAAATTGCCACCGAATTTTTATCAACAATAAAATAATATTTATAATACAGTTAAGGTTATATTTTATACATAAATATATAATTATATATATAATGGTTTGTTTTTGTTATATTTGATATTATTCCAAAGATTTTAATATACATTTATATTATACAGATAAAGTATTTTTTTTATAAAGTTGCTTTATATATATATATATATTTATATATATATATATATATATTAATTATACTGTCTAAACCCAATAACATACATCAAAGAAGCATCTATCGAACTATGTTCAGAAAAACTTACATACATACGTACATATCTCCTAATTATATAAATATTATATTTTTTACTATTTTTTAAACATTTGGTATCTGCTGACCCATTTTACCTCACATACGGGGTAAAGTGGAACAACCAGGCGGCGAACAGATGCAATTTCTCCTAATTTTAAAGGCATTTTACGCTACATTATTGAACCAATGCAAAATATTAATTCTGTGGGTACATTTGTTACAAAGACAACACAGTATATTACATTGACCTGCTATTGGTCAGAAATATTCATCAGAAGAGCCGGAATAACAATTTCTTCAATTTAATCTCTTGTAAAATTGCTTTTTTTAAAACTTCACTATTTTATTGCTTACACCTTTGCCAAAGTAAAGGTTCAGCTGGTCCTTTTTATTGCAGTCATAAGAATAAAGGTGATGGCTGGTTATGAATTTATACATTTTTCGCCCTCTACTATCTACTATCAAATATAATTGTTAAAAAAAATCTAATTTTATTTGTTTATGAGATATCCGTGGTGGGCCATTAATAATTAGTATATATATATATATATATATATATATATATATATATATATAGATGTAGTTGTTAAATTATGTAATTATGTAATATTGATTCAATGAGCTCTTCAGGACGTAGTGTTTGTACCAGAATAAGATATAATAGATTTATTAAATATTTAACTTAGAAATGAGATTTGTGGTATGCCTAAATAAATTTGATGTTTGATTCTAAAGATCTCTCTTGGATCATTTTTGTATATCAATTTAAATTTTAAAAATTGTGTACGGTAAGACTGACTTGAGTAAAAATAAAATTGTTATCTTATATGAATGTAAATAAAATAGAGAAAGTTTGTCAGTATATTTAAAAATGTATTTTCATTCTTTAGATATCACTTCAAAACCAAAAATTTTTTTTAGTTATATAAGTTTTTAACAACTTTTAAAATACTTGCAGTGTAAATTAATAGAGTACTTACTTTAAAAAAATTCAGTATCAATATAAATATGAAGAAATATTATTTTATTTAAATTATAATGGTTTTACTGTTGTTAAAATAAAGATTCCAACAAATCTTAGTTGGATTTTCGAACAAAGAGGCGCTCGGGTACATGCAGCGCCATCTTCGCACGCTCCGTAGTCGCACATCTACAAGTTCTTTTTGCATATCTATGGTTTATGCCAGTCTGTGGAATGTCATTGCATAAAATCATTTTCTCATCGGAGTTGGTCGAAAAAACATCGTGGAATACAGAGGGCCTCTTGCCATTTGCTGTCTGGAATATAATTTGGTATGTTGTACTAGTGCTAAGTACATTTCGCTTTGCGGATTCACTAGGATTTTATTTCGTGTTCGACAGTGTTGCGTCATACTTTGTTCAAGTCTTATTAGTGTCATAGACACCGGATATATTTTATTTCATAATGTCTACTGTTAAATAAAACTGTTTAGTTGGCCTTGTGCAATATATTCGAAAAGTGATTGTGATTTGTGAATATTTTGGACTCGGTCCTGAGACTTTCGGGAATAATATAATTTATTTTATATTCACTATTGTTTATACAAATATAAAATACTATTTTTCAAAGTTTTTGCTCTAATTGGAAGACACAAAGTGAAAGTAAATCTGAACTAGTAGTTCATGTTTACTTTTATCATCGAGACTTTCGTGAGTATCTGTACAAATTGTTAAATTCTAAGTGTTATTTAAATCATTACTATCTTTTAACTCACTTCAATAATAATACTACTAACAAATACTACTAATAATACTAACAAATACTAACAAACACTAATCCATTCTACTACTACTAAAATATAATGTGGTCGTTTGAATCTTTTAAGTCTATGCAATGTGGATTTGAAGTATTACATTACATTTCAATTTTTATTATTTTGAATTCATGTTAATGCATTTCATATAAAACCAAGTGCGATTATTAAACAGCTAGAAAATTCCCAGAACTATATTTCTGGGCATCAAGACGAAATCACATGAAAACCACAACGTATCATATCAAATAAATTGTTAAGTATCGAATGGCCAAGTAGTATCGAGTGAAAATTCAATTTACATTTATTTTATTTTATTAACCAATTATATTTGTATTATATGTATATACTTTATTTATTCTTTACTAGATCTACTGATTTGTAACTTAATAATTTGTTTTTTAGGCATATTTGATCGGACACTGTGATTATTACACAACGGTCAACTGGAATGATACGATCAAAATATTTGGAAAGCATTCAAAGTATGAATAACTTAGAGATTTATCAAACAATGACATTTTTAAGACCATACAAACTTATTCAAGACTTATAAATAAATGCTCTTTGAAGGGGACTAAGAAGAAAGTTCAAGTAAGTGTCTAAAAATCAAAATTTAGCTTATCATTATTTTCACATGCTGTTAATTTTTTATTTTATTTCATTGTTTTTATAAAATCTTTTTCATTCAAGATTGAAAATTCAAACTCTACACAGACCCCATCACGATGGATTGTTCGGTAACGCATAAACACTTTTATAAATTCTCTATACAACATCAATGTTTACATTTCTAATGTTTTTTTATTCCAGATCCTGGTTCAACTGCCAATTCAAAAATGCAAGAATATTCATTCCGACTACTTTACTAGGAATCTCTCTAGAAACATTTAATCAGGTATGTGTTTATCCATAACCAGTATGAATGCAAACATTGCTAAAATATTTCTTTTTTTTTTTTCAGGTCCTTTCAACTTCTGCTGCTCTGCACACAGACTCCTTCACCAGGAACATTTAATCAGGTATGCGTTTATCCATAACCAGTATAAATGGAAACGTTGCTGAAATATTTCTTTTTTTTCTCAGGTCCTTTCAACTTCTGCTGCTCTGCACACAGACTCCTTCACCAGGAACATTTAATCAGGTATGCGTTTATCCATAACCAGTATAAATGCAAACATTGCTAAAATATTTTTTTTTCTCAGGTCCTTTCAACTTCTGCTGCTCTGCACACAGACTCCTTCACCAGGAACATTTAATCAGATGCGTGTTTATCCATAATCAGTATAAATGCAAACATTGCCAAAATATTTCTTTTTTTTCTCAGGTTCTTTCAACTTTTGCTGCTCTGCACACAGACTCCTTCACCAGGAACATTTAATCAGGTGCGTGTTGATCCATAATCAGTATAAATGCAAACATTGCCAAAATATTTCTTTTTTTTCTCAGGTCCGTTCAACTTCTGCTGCTCTGCACACAGACTCCTTCACCAGGAACATTTAATCAGGTGTGTGTTTATCCATAATCAGTATAAATGCAAACATTGCCAAAATATTTCTTTTTTGCAGATTTTCAAAATTTTTCCTGATGCTCAAAACATCATGAGTTTGGAGAACTCATTCATGTAAATGATTCGCAAGTGTTTTTTTTTAATAACTGCCTATAATTATGCATGATTAACTTAACTCTTACTAAATCACTAACACGACTAACCTCACTAACTTGATCAGTTATTATAAAAACCACTTGCTGAGTTTTACAATGAATGTCTTGCTGAGGTTGCTTGAAAGACAGCGCTGATTGATTTATCAGGTAATTTATTTTTTATAGTATATTTTATGAGACTTGTTACTAATTCATTGTTTTTGTTCATAGGGTAAACGACAACTTCAAGCCAAATAGTCTTCAACTCTCAAATTACTCGAGACTTGTTCTCCAGCAGAAACAATCACTCGAACTACTAATTATGTCGTCCCAAGTAACTACCACCGTCTTGTCGTCAGGGAAGGTGTCTACTGTCATATTATATATAGATTAGTTAAGTGCATAAATGTTAATGAAATAATGAATAAATATATTGTATTTAATTCAATTTGTTGTTTTAATTCAATTATGAGCCACTTTACGGCCAAATTACATTATTTAGTAACGTAAATTACTAAGATATTTAAACATTTCTAACTTAATAACAAAAATTTCTTGTGTTATCAATAGGGATACTTATTAAGTGCACTCTTTAGTGTAGACAATTGTGCAAAACAGTTTCTTTACTGTTTGGGTGTTTGCAACCATCTTGCCGTATCTTGGTTAAGCTCTATATACCTTTGCTTTTCGATTCGGTAGAAACGCGTTGACAATGGACTTTGCTTTTTTCCAAACACTTATGTTAGTCGAGTGCTTTAAACATTTAATACGTCGGACCGATGTTTTCTCTTGTTTAAATATTACACTTTCTATTATTTCTTTAAATGGTGCACTCTTTTTCTTAGCTATAACTATCACTTAATTTAACATCACCATGTGTTAATATTAATATATATATATATATATATATATATATATATACTATAATTATATATATATATATATATATATATATATGTATATATATATTATTGTGTAATAGCGATCGATAATGCTGCATTGTGTAAGAGCAATGCTGATATGCCAATTAACGTAAATTCGATATCGATATCGTGCTAATAAAGTATCGTTAAAAATAGTCAATCAGTGTTGTTCTTTAGAAGTGACAAGATATTTCAGCCAATATTTTAATAAAGAACTCAAGGCAATCCGAAGCCTACTATTACTATAACCACCGCTCGGCAAGGCTGTATTGACTAGGAGGTCAATACGAACCACGTTACCAACAACCCCAATACATTTTAATATATGAGCCGCTCAGTGCACACATCGACTAACTCCACTTTTTGAAAAAACTGAGATATTAGTGGGAAAGAACTTGGTATAATCATGACTTTTTATGATTATAATAATTTTCCAAAAGAATAAAAATTGCCACTGTGAAACGAAAATTTAGTTCGACTACTGAATCCATGTCATTTATTTCAGAAGACATTTTGATTAACTCCATTCTGTAGTGTATATGTTCTGGTTGGGTTGGATTTCGGGTTTCAAATTCATGAATTACGAATAAGAACACAGAACTGTAGGGTGTTGTGGGTCTCGAAAAAAATTCATCTAGTTTTATAAAAGACATCGAAGACGTTACAAACTTTGAAAAAATAACATACTAAAATTCGTGTACCCGGCAAAACAAGAATATTAAAACTGCCTGAAGTTTATTGAAACTTGTTCAAAGTACGGAAATAAGAGCTAACTCAATTAAAAATAAATTTCTGGTCGGTGAAAATAGTTATTAATCTATTAACTCAAGATTTTGTTATTATTGAGTCACGCGCGAAAAAAAATCGAGACATAATTTTACCAGATAGTTGATACAATATAATAAAAACATTTAAGAAAAAAGCGATATTGTAGCCAAGAGTTTTTATCTATTTTTTATTTATTTAGAACAATAAATCAGTAACAGAAAAGTAACCATCACAGGGTGCCCAGAAAATTGGCCTAAAATGCGCTGAATTTAGAATAGAAAGGTCCAAACCCAACGATATACAATTTAAGTGTGACTGCAATGAAGATCCAAATTTTAAAAAAAGTTTAAAGTTTAAAAAAAGTTGAAAACTTGATTAACTCCACAAGTCATATCAAAACTTTAACTCTAATGATAATTATTTTCTCACTATTAATAGTTATAAATCTCATATAACGTTACATGTAAGCTATATATGTATTTATACGTTCTAAAATATATTTTTCAATTTATATTATAACAGGATACATTATATGCAATATACATTACTTTATCGCTTTTCTCCACTTTCTGACTTTCGGAGTTAGTCGATGTGTGCACTGAACGGCTCATATATATATATATATATATATATATATATATATATATATATATATATATATATATATCGTTTTCATTACTGCAATTGTAAAAATAAATTAATATAATTGTATTATTAAATACTGTGATACATTAAGAGTTTTGAATAAAACTAACTAAACTTCATTTGGAGTGTTTCATTTCACACCATTTTCAGTATTATATATATTAGAATCACACCGTACAGGTGCAGGTACTATAAACTGATAAGCTAATGTTATCATAAACATTAATATACTCATTAATTCGTTCTTCGAAGAGGATTTAATATTTTGAATAAATTTCATATAATATAATTGTTGAAATCTAATTCTATGATGATTAATATTGTTAATGTAGTTATAAATTTGGCCATTTTAAATAGACTAATCTATGGTTTTTCACTCATTTTTCAATCACTTTAATCTATTATACTATTATTTAAAGTCTTAATTAGTTCATTTTAATTATTATACTTTGAATATTGGTAAGTTTTACTTATCTATACTTATAAAAAAAAATTACTTAACTATAACTTGTGAAAAAAAATTCAAGTTCTCAGTCTTGTGTTATTTTCTTCTTTTGCACAAGAATATCTTCATTATTATTAATATATCTTAATTTTTATTCGCTTAATTATTACATTAATTACATTCATATTCTTACCATATTTACCCTACCATCTCCTATTTTACTTTACACTACCTTACCATAACCTTACACTACCTTTACCTAATACTTACCTACGTTAAGAACTAATGTACTCTTACCTTGCTTACCTTACCACGTCTCGAACCTGCTACCCTGTCCTCTCCTGCGACTCCCACCTCCCAACGCGCGACGCCACGACGATCACATTAATAAACCGTTACAAAGTAGGTGATATTATATATTTTAAACGAAACAAACTAACAGGTCATATGGCCAAAAAAATTGAATTTGTATGGCCTGTGTTGGCGTAATTGGTAGAGTGATGGCTTCGTATCGTAAAGGTACCGAGTTCGAATCATACATCAGGACAAAAAACGGAAAGAAGTAGTGCTGTTCGCGTTGAGGAATTAATTTATTGTAAGATAGCACAAAGACAAAATTTAGATTTAATAAACTAAGAGGTCATGAGGCCGAAAAAAAGCAGATTCGGTGTGGCCTGTGTTGGCGTAATTGGTAGAGTGATGGATTCGTACCCAAAGAGTGCAGAGTTCGAATCATACCTCGGTACAAAAAATGGAAAGCGTGGAATTTATTTATTGTAACTAGCACAAAAATAAAATTTAGATTTAATAAACTAAGAGGTGATGAGGCCGAAAAAAAGCAGATTCGGTGTGGCCTGTGTTGGCGTATTGCTAGCGTGCTAGCTTCATGTCAACAGGGTACCGAGTTCGATTCATACCTCCGGACACAAAACGCAAAATAGCGTGACTGTTGACGCTGTGGAACGAGGTATGCACGGATACACATCCGTTCGAATTTGAGACCCCATGCAGGTATGCTCCCCTCGATCTCGATTGAGAGGAGAGATACGCGCGAGAATTCCGTATCATCCCCTAATGAACCCCGCAGCAGCCCCGAAAAGGGGCGAGGGGGGATTATAGGGGGGTGTGGGGTTCACGAACCCGCGCCCCTGTGGTCCAACCCTCCCGAAAAAGGGAGAGGGGGGACTATAGGGGGGTGAGGGTTCCGCGCGACGACCAGCCCTGGTCGCGCCGGTTGAAAAGCTGGGTGCGTCACAGGGTGGGTCGGTGTGCGAGTCCCCGGAGCACCCTCGAGTGCGATGATGGTGATGTGGGGTGAGGGAAATGCGGTGACGAGGAAAAAAGGGGTGAAAAGACATGAGGAGGGGGAGATAGGGATGGCGGAGAGGTAGGGGAAGAGATAAGGGGAGGGAGAGACATAGGGGGAGGGATGAGATAGGGGGAGAGAGACGGAGGGAGGGATGGATGAGGTAAAAAAGCGATAGGGGAGGAGACTAAACGCATTTTACGCAACGACGTGTTACGTCCGCGCCCGTCACTCCAGCCCATCCTGCCTCCCGCCGCCTCTCTCCCCCTCTCA